GTATGCTGAGGAATAGAATTACTGGGTCAAATAGTGGTTCCATTCCAAGTTTCTGAGGAATCTCCATACTGCTTTCCAGAGTGGTTGCACCAAATTGCAGTCCCACCAGCAATGTATGAGTGAAATTTTTCCCCACATTCTTGCTAACATTTATTGTTACTTATATTCTTTTATTTGGACTTTTTCCTTTTATTAAATTTTTGGAACCAGGGATTAAACCAAGGGACACTTAAACACTGAGCCACATCCCCAGCCCTTTTTATTTTTATATTTCATTAAGAGACAGGGTCTTGCTGAGTTGCTTAGGACCTAATTGCTGAGGCTGGCTTTGAACTCAAAATCCTATTGCCTTAGCCTCCCAAGCTGGTGGGATTATAGGAAGGTGCCACCTTACCTGGCTGTTACTTGACAATTGCCATTCTGATTGGTGTGAGTTGGAGTATCAGTGTAGTTTTAATTTTCATTTCTCTAATTGCTAGAAATGTTGAACATTTTTCCATATTTTTTTGACCATTTGTATGTCTTCTTCTATGATGTGTCTGTTCAGTTCCTTAGCCCATTTATTGATTGGGTTATTTGGGGGGTTTTGGTGTTAAGTTTTTTTTAATTCTTTATATACCCTGGAGATTAATGCTCTATGTGAGGTGCGGATGGCAAAGATTTTTCTCTCATTCTGTAGGCTCTCTATTCATGTTCTTGATGGTTTCCTTTGCTGTGAAGAAGCTATTTAGTTTGATACCATCCTATTTATTGACTCTTGATTTTACTTCTTGAGCGTCAGGAGACTTATTGAGGAAGTGGGTTCCTGAGCAACATGATAGAATTGGGCCTACTTTTTCTTCTAGTAGGTGCAGGGTCTCTGGTCTAATGCTTAGGTCCTTGATTCACTTTGAGTTATATGCAGAGTAAGAGATAGTCGTCCAAATTCAATCTACTACATAAGGATTTCCAGTTTTCCCAGCACCATTTGTTGATGAGGCTATCTTTTCTCTAATGTATATTTATGGCACCATTGTCTAGTACGAGATAACTCTATTGATGTGGATATGTCTCTGTATCTTCTACTCTGTTTCCTTGATCTTCATGTCTGTTCTAGTGCCAATACCATGCCATTTTTTTTAACTATAGCTTTGTAGTACAATTTAAGATCTAGTATTGTGATGCCAGAGGCATCACTTTTCTCACTAAGAATTGTTTTGGCTATTCTGGGTCTCTTATTTTGCCAAATGAATTTCATAACAGCTTTTTCTCTTTCTATGAAGAACATCACTGGAATTTTAGTGGGAACTGCATTACATCTGTATATTGCTTTGGGTACTATAGTCATTTTGACAATATTAATTCTGCCTATTCAAAAACATGGGAGCTCTTTTTCATTTTTTTAAGGTCTTTGATTTCTTTGTGTTGTGTAGTTTTCATTGTAGAGGTCTTTCGACTCTTTTGTTAGATTGATTCCAAAATATTTAAATTTTTTTTGAAGTTATTATGAATGGGATAGTTTTCCTGATTTCTCTTTCAGCTGATTCATCATTGGTGTACAGGAATGTGATTGATTTCTGGGTGTTAATTTTATATCCTGCTACTTTGCTGAATTTGTTTATGAGTTCAAGAAGCTTCCTAGTGAGCTGAGGTTGTAGCTTAGTGATAGAGTGCTTGCCTTGCACACATGAGGCACTGAGTTTGATACTCAGCACCACATAAAAATAAAATAAAGGTATTTTGTCCATTTATGAGATATATATATATATATATATATATATATATATATATATATATGTTTTCTGGTAGAGTATTTGGGTCTTCTAAATATAGACTCATATTGGCAGCAAATAGGGGTAGTTTGAGCTGTTCTTTCCCTATTCACAGCCTTTTAATTTCTTTCTTCTAATTAATTGCTCTGGCTAAGATTTCAAGGACTATGTTGAATAGGAGTGGTGAAAGAGGGCATCCCTGTCTTGTTCCAGTTTTTAGAGGGAATGCCTTTAATTTTTTTCCATTTAGAAAAATGTTGGCCTAGGGTTTAGCATATACAGCTTTTTCAATTTTGTCAATTGCTTCTTCTGCATCTATTCAGATAATCATGTAGTATTTGTCTTTAAGTCCATTGATGTGATGCATCATGTTTATTGACTTCCGTTATGTTGAACCAACCTTGCATCCCTTTGATGAACCCCACTTGATCATGGTCACTATCTTTTTAATATGTTTTTGTATGTGATTTGTCATTATTTTATTAAGAATTTTTATATCTATGTTCGTCAGGGATATTGGTCTGAAATTTTCTTTCCTTAATGTGTCTTCGTCTGATTTGGGTATCAAGGTGATACCAGCTTCATAGAATTGAGTTTGGAAGGGTGCCTTCCTTTCCTATGTCGTGAAATAATTTGAGAAGGATTGGTGGTAGTTCTTCTTTGAAGATCTTGTAGAACTCGGCTGAGAATCCATCTGGTTTTGGGCTTTTCTTCATTGGTAGGCCTTTAATGGTGTCTTCAATTATATTTCTTGAAATTGATCTGTTTAATTTTTCTATGTCCTCCTGATTCAATTTAGGTAGATCATATGTCTCTAGAAAACATTTCTTTTACCCAGGCCTAAGCTCTACCACCTCCAAGCCGTAACCTTAGTAATAAGGAAAATAGAAACCACGCAATGTTGAGCTTACTTCAGTTTATCTTACAACATACCTACAATAGTGCCCATCTTTGATTTATTTATTAGAATAGTAAATAATGTAACCTGGTATTAATGTGCCAAACATTAGGCTGAACGCTTTACATATAATAATTTATTTCCCAAAGTAATCTTTCAAGTAAGTACTTTTGGTTCCTTTGGTTTTTGTTTTAGGAAAATAAAGCTCAGAGAAGTTCAATAATTTGTCCCAGGTTTACAACTAATGAATGGCAGAAAACAGATTTGGATTCAGATCTATGACTTTGTCACCTGTATTATGGCATCTGCCCAAAGTTCATACGTGACACAATGCAAGACAGTTTAGAGATGAACTGATACTGGGTTGTAAAAGGATTAACCTAATCAGTGCATCAATCCCTTGATAGGGATTAACTGGTTGGCAAGGTAAGTAACCAAGGATAAGCCTTTAAGGTTTATATTTTGTCCCTGGTGAGGAGAGCCCTATCTGCTTTCTGATTGATGCGTTCTGAGCTGCTTTCCTTTGTCACACCCTTCTGCCACGATGTACTGTCTCACCTCCAGCCCCAAGTAATGGAGTCAGGCATCCACGAACTGAAACCTCTGAAATCTTGAACACCATATAAACTTTTCCTACTCTAAAATTCTTCTTCTCACATCTTTTAGTCACAATGGTGAGAAAGTTGAGTAAAACGCCCTGCCTAAGGAAAGGGGTCTCCAAAAACCCTCCACTTCTACACAGATGCACCACACTCACAAATTCATTTTCACTACTACATGATTTCTTGTTTTCCTTTCCAGTATGGAGAAAATGTACTTAAATTAATACCCATTAGTGAGAAATATGGTTTATGAACTTAGTGTACTGTAAATATGAATATATACCTATTAGTTATGCTGATAAAATGTTTCAATAAAACATAAATAAATGGTTTAGATCTTTTTGAAGACATGCATGCTTAAGGATTAAATGACTTCTCTGATTTTCCATGAAAAATAAAAAATACCAGGTAATAGTGATAATAATTACCATCTACCTTTTTTACTTCACCTACAGTAGAAAAGAAAGATAAAATTTCCTGCTTCTTCAATTTTCCAATAACTTCTCACTTAGGCAGAGACTGATTGTTTCAAAGGTGAAAAGCAATTTAGCAGTATCTACAGACACAGCTACCACCTGTAACAAATGAGTCCTCTCTTTAATGGTCCTGACAAATGGAGACCCTCACTGGTGTCAAAGAGTTTTCTCCCATGACTTCTAATAAAACTCCACCAGCTATCTTCAGTGGCTCTCCCTAAGCCAAATGATTTATCACACTATTTACAAAACTCAATTCCCCACACCTTCAACACCTCTGAACCTTCCCCTTTAGATGTCAGGATTAACTTCAACACTGAAAATGCCATACAAGCTAGAGCTTTAGTCTGTCTTGCTCAATATTCTATGCCAAATACAAAGTAGCTGCTGAATCAACATTTATTGTAATAAACAATGGCAAGAAAACAAGTTAGACGATACCATTTGACCGGCATCCATTCTAATAAAATTTCCCTGGATTGGTTACATGAATCTGTTGTTTTGAATACCATCAATTAAGAACTCAAAATATAGAATATAGAGTCTCTATCTTTAAGCTTTAACCTAAAAGTAGTTTTTTTTTTTTTTTTAACAATATTCAGTTTGGATTCACTGTAATGTAATAGTTTTGTTTTGTTTTGTTTTGGTGCTGGGGATTGAACCCAGGACCTGTGCATACAAAGCAAGCATTCTACCAACTGAGCTATATACCCAGCCCTCCTCATTTTAATATTTTCAATATCACTTTTTCTCATTTCTTCTGGTTAAAAAGAAACCTCAAACAACCAAAGAATGATTTCTATGTTTTAAATCTACACATATAATATTTTTAATATAACTAAACCTGTATCTTTAACAACTACATTTCTTCAGATCAGAATGTAGTTTCCTAAATCCAAAAAAGGATGTAAGTTCTATCTGTAGTTCATAAACCACGTGTCAATCACTGACATAATTCAAGAACACCATACATATTTATCACTGCATTCATTTTTAAACAAATATTGCAAAAAGATTACACACAATGTGAGAAATGTCACCTAAATGCTAAAAACCTGATAAATATCAGTTCTTAATGGTAGATTCCTTTCTATCATTAAAATAAATATCAGCTTCCTGTCTACTTTCAATTTTGCTGAATGCCACCCACTTACAAATTAAACTATAATAACTCAAAATATCCAGTTATATTTTGACTATAATTTCTCAATTTTTCCCACTTCTGAAATTCATAATTTGTTTGACAAATTCAATACAAAAACTATTTACAAACCTCCACCCATCCTTTTGAAGATAACTGAAGGCTCCATCGACAACGCTTGCAAAGAACTGTCCTCCTGTGATGAAGAGGGTGTTAATGGTGACTAGTCGGCCTCTTAGATTGGGTGGCGAGACCTCCGCAATGTACACTGGCACTGTCATAGATGCAATGCCTAGAAAGAACGTGAAAAGTGACCATTAGACACTTAAGCAAGATTTCCATTGTTACAAATATTAACAGAGAATTAAGACATACACCTATGGGCTTGGTTTTCTACTTCAAACAAAAATTACCACATATTTGAAGCTTGTGTTTATAACTAATAGGGTACCACTGAAGATAAGTACGTTGGATACTGACTCAGGCTACCATTTTTTTTATTATCATTTGAAAGTCTACAAATAAAGGTACCTCTGAAGACCTCAAATAACATTAGAATGTATAAGTGTTCACTATAAATTTTAAGGTCTAAAAATACAAAAATTCTCTCTAGAAAGAATATCATTACTGAAATATGTTTGCTCTATATAGAAATGTAATCAGACAATGATAAAAATAAAAATTATCCCAGAATACATATTAACTATACAAAATCGTTATTTCCAACAAATACAGCAAAGCTTTAAGTTGGATTACTCATAAAACCCATATTAAGTTACCCTATTCAATTGTCTAGTTTACATTTCAGAAATGGCTTAGAAATTGGAAAGTACCTTAAGGAATTTACAGTTCACAAAAATACATGATGTTAGACATAAAATAAAGTTTCATGGCTAAGGTGTATTTAGTTATATTGGCTTCAAATTTTTTCTCTATTTAAAATTAATGTGGCATGATCTCTGGCATTAGCTCTAACTTCACTGATCATCAGAATCACTGTGTGCTTTTTCTGTTTGTTTGTTTTAATGAAGATGCCCTCACCTTACCTCAAGACTACCAAATTGAAAACTATACAGATGGGAGATGGGTTTGGTTTCAAAAATCCTCCAGAAGTGATCTTGACATTCACTATGTTATTTTTTTAAATATTTATTTATTCATTCATTTATTTAGTTATAGGTGGACAAAATACCTTTGTTTTTATGTGGTGCTGAGGATCAAACCCAGTGCCTCATACATGCTAGGCAACCCCTTTATCTCTGAGCCACAACACAGCCCTCACTGTGTTATTTTAAAAACTCAAGTTCTATGGTGCAGAACTTTGAGTCAATTAAAAAAAAATGTTTTAAAGAAAACCTCAGCCCTGCCCGCCACATCTATCTCACTCCCATGTGGCACTTCCAATTTCCAGGTATGTCTGTTTATGTAGATTAAAACTAATATCTAATCAATACTCACCAAGACCTCATTGGGAAAACAAAAAAGAGCAGGGTTATTAACAAAAATTTAGTTGCTTTTTATCTGTAGCTGTCAAGAGCCATCCATGGACTACGTGTGGACCAAATCGACATGGAAGCCCACTGAATAGGAAAATCTAGTATTTGGGACCTTCCAGTGGCAATCCCACTGGTTAACACCGCCATACACATGAGTCTTATTCAGCTCTGCCAACTCCCAACACAGCATTGGAGATGGTACTGTAGCTACACAGCCTCTCTGAGATGTGTGTAGCCTGCCAAGATGCCAATCAACCAGCTGACTGCAAGACATCAAGAAGCAAGACTCTGCCCCTGAAACCTTATCCCTGCCTTTGATATACCTCCTTAAATAAACCACTGGAGCCATTTTTTTAATTATTCTGTTCCAGCTCCTAAAAGGACTGGAAGGATCTCCCAGGCACTCTGCTTTAAAACCTATTCTGACTCTGTCTTTTATTTCTTCACTAATTATTTCAGACTATTTTCTCAGGTGTATTATCCCCTCCTGACCAGGAGAAATTACCCTGGCCAGGCTCTGGCTGCCTTGCAATATGTAGCCATCATAAATCAATTCCTACATTAAGCCAGAATATTCATAAGCTGCACAATAGACACGTGTAGAATTACTTCTAATGAAATAATTTTTATGACATCAAAAAAAAAAAAAGTCTGTATTAAAGAAAATAGCACCAAAAAACCTGTATAGCTTGTTTTCTTTAAGAGGGATGTTGAGTGTGCTGTCACATTCAATAAAACAGACACAATTCTAGTCTGGGTAACAGTAATAGTTGTGCTTCTCAATATTTTTTTTTTTTTCTTTCAGGGCTGGGAATCCAACCTAAAGCCTCACATATACTAGGCAAGCACTCTACCACCCCCAACCAAATGATTTTTGCTTATTGATGGCTGGTATAAATCATACAGCTTTTTCTCATTTCCCTCCGGATGCAGTAATAGAGGCCCGCCTCCACCGTGTGTTTTGGACTACATGGTACTCATTTGGTGAACAGAATTCCCTCCTGATGTCACAGCAGTGTGCAGTTTCACCTATTATAAGTTTTTCTTTGTTTTATTTGCTTTGTTCTATCTTTGAGTAAGGCAAATAAATGGACAAATAGACAAACTTTATTTAAGAAACACATTTACTTCTAGAAAGTTCACTGTATTGTTGCAAATAAGTAGCTATTAAATTTGCACACAAGTCAAAGAAATAAAAATACTTTCTACCAATGTCTCTGCTACTGTCAGCATATGGAAATAATAACCTTTATTATTCATTGAATAAGAAAGTGTCATTATGGGCTGGGGATGTGGCTCAAGCAGTAACACGCTCGCCTGGCATGAGCGGGGCGCTGGGTTCAATCCTCAGCCCCACATAAAATAAAGACGTGTGTCCACTGAAAACTGAAAAATAAATATTAAAAAATTCTCTCTCTTCTCTCTTCTCTATCTTTTAAAAAAAAGAAGAAAGTGTCATTAGACACAGTATGAATTATCTTTTCAATTAAATCATCAACTAAACAGCTAAAAATTTCCATTTGACTTACTACTGAGTTTAATAGCATAGACCACCTAAAATGCCCTTTGCCTAATTTCCTACAAATGTCAATGAGTTAACTTTATATTCTTATTCTTTTACTATTAAAACATTTCAATTAAAAGTCAAAAATCAAACACTAATTTATTATTTGTATTTCTTTTTCTGCACTGGTCTAGCTGTAAACAAGAATTCAGCTGCTCTCTCCAGCCAAGGGTCTTTAACTGAGCCATCTAACCCATTGAGCATGGGATATCAGGAAGGTGGATTTTAGGCAATGTGTGCTTGTCACAAAATCCATAAATCTTACAAGAACTGCACACATGTCCTTATGCCCTTGATTGTTTAGGATAAATACCAGAGCATTAAAAGTAACAGGTAATGGCAAAGGAAAAAGACAGAGGAACTATAAAAAGTCACAGCCATTGTATTCAGAGTTGGAAAGAACCCCAAAAGATCTATCCAACGAGTGCTCACACACTGACTTAACTACAACTGCCTACATTCTGTCAGATATTTTATGTGGACTGATTGTCATTAATCTTTAGCACACCTCTATTAAGGACATGTAATTATTCCCATTTTGTAAAGAAGAACTTTACCCTGGGGCAAGTAACTTGAAGAACCAGAATTAAAAACCGACAGATTCCAGTCCCAGTTTTGAAGGCTATACTGAGTGATCAGCATGGATGAAGGCAGGCTCATGAATCAGTAGGTTTCAACTCCAACATTTCCACTTACCAGCTGGTTAAAATTACATAAACCTTCTGGGTCTCCAGTTCCTAATCCAGAATATGGGAACAAAATTCCTTCATAGGGGTTGACAAAAGTCAATATTAAATAGAGTAAAGCACTTAAAACTATACCCAGCTTACAGAAGGCAGCCAATAATTATCAACATTCATCTCTAGTTATAAGGCATCTCAATTTTCAATTCAGTTCAATCTGTGTTTGGTGTTGATGTTAAGAGGCCGGGCGTGATGGCACACGCCTGTAATCCCAGTGGCTCAGGAGGCAGGAGGATCAAGAGTTCAAAGCCAGCCTCAGCAACTTAGGCCCTAAGCAACTCAGCAAGACTCTGTCTCAAAATAAAATATATTCTTTGGGCTGGGGATGTGGCTCGGTGGTTAGACCTCTGGGTTCAATCCCCAGTAACAAAAAAAAAAAAAAAAAATAGAAGAGTATACATAAACAACAATGCCCCTGCTATGAAGGAAACTAGATGCAACCCTTATATAGAAAAGCATGTAATCAAATGAGTAATTTAAGACACATGGTAAGGGCCATATCAAAGCCATTCGCTGAGCTTTACCTGTTGATGCTGACAAATGTTGCCTGCTGATGATAATTAGGGGGCAGCTAGGAAAGGCTGGACAGACAATTCAACACAGAAGAGAATAAGTTTAAGAATGTAAACAACACAGGGTTTCCTCAGAGATAAACAGAAAATGTGAGGCAGAATGTGAGTGAAGATAGATGGTAGATAAAAATTAAATTTTGAATGTTGCATCCAGTAACCAATGAGTATTTGTAGAACACTGAATCTGAGCGGAACAGCTCACTAAACATGGCGGAGTCTGCACTGTATGAGGCAGAGACACCTTCTGTCCTCATGCAGCTTAGGGTCTCTGGGAAGTGTAAAGAACATGAGTGTATAGTAAAGGGAACGGCCCAGTCTGAGGAGTCAGAGAGGCCCTGATAAAGAATTCGTATGTAGGCTGCAATCTGGTGAAAGAGTAAGCTGGGGGGGGGGGGGGGGCGGGCCAAGGGGCACTTTAGACAATCAGACCTGCTTACACAAAGGCCTTGAGGAAGAAAGAAATGCACCCTGCTGAGGAAAGAGAATGATTTTCTGAGAGATGGGCGGTGACCAATCAGACTATACAGGAATTGAAAGGCCAAATTAAGGATTTGGTACTCAGAAGCCTATGAATGGTGTGAAAGAGAAAAAGGCAAGATCAGATTCAGTTTTTTAAAGGATGATTCTTTTTGGGGTGTGGGGAATTGATCTCAAGGAACCAACAATGCATGGACATAGAGTGAAACAGATGAGAGAACCATCAATTTACTATTCAAACTACAGAGCATCTGGATGGAATGAAATGGAGACGGACAGAAAGAAGTGGTAGACAGTGTTAAGATGAAAAAGGCAATTAGGAGCATGCTGGTACATGTAGACAGGAATACCCAGGAAGCAGCAAGCTCGGATGGCAGATAATCAGGTCGTATTGCAGAGTGCCTGAATCACAAGTGCTCTGTAACCAACAGAGCACCTTA